GCTGGTTAGGGTCATTGGGTTCTTTGGGGCAATACTGATCTCAGTTGTCAGGATATTTAGCAGTTCAGCAAACCAGCAACAGCAAACACAGCAGAAAGATAAACCCACAACAGCACCGGGAGCAGCAGCCTTCTTCCTTTTTGGAATTTTTGGCTCTCCCCTGGATCTGGTATTTATACCCTCTCCGAGTCCTCAGAATCCCACTAACTGCAGATGGCAAAGACCATGCCCCTCTGCGAGCCCTACAAGGTTGTTACCAGCTAGCAAAGACAACACCCCTCTCTGAGCCACACGTGGCAGTTATCAGCTGAGGATAAACTAAGGCAGCCCCACGTCCCACACTTGGGATTAAAGCAAAAACATATTTACATAACATAACCGAGTTTAAAGAAACAAAAATCTTCTCTACAGTGGGGAGTGTAGCAGCAGGCAGGCAGGCATGACACTGAAGCAGTAGCTGAGAGCTTACATCTGATCAGGATGGAGGCAGGGAGAAGGAGACTGTGGCTTAGGCTTTTGAGGCCTCAAAGCCCATTCCCAGTGACATGCCTCCCCCAAGGCCACACCTCCTAGTCCTTCCTAAATAGCCCATTAACTGGGAACCAGACATTCAAACAGATGAGCCCATGGGGCCATCATTCAGATCATAGCCCCATTGCCGCCATCACATCGGCTGCTGCGATTCCTTCTCTGACAGTAGAACCATCGTGTCCAAACTTTGACTGTGGATTATAAACCAGTGGCTCTGCAGACAGCTGAGTGGCAGGCACCAGATTGGGACTGCTGAGGCACCTGCCTGTGGACTAAGTGACTGCTGGCTGTCACCTCCCACTGAGAGACAGCTTTCTGGGACCGGTGTGGCTGTTGAGGAACCCAGCTTGCAGGGTTGAAAACTCGGTTCTCAGTGTCTCAGGGGTGTATATTTTGGCTGTTACTGTTTTAAAGCTCATTATGATGGTTTGCATGAGAATGGTCCTCAGAGGCTCAGACATTTAAATACTTGCCTTCCCCCCCCACCCCGCCATTGGTGGAACTTTTGGGGAAGAATTAGGAGGCGTGGCCTTGTTGGAGGAGGCATGCCACTGGAGGTGACTGTGAGGTTCCAGAATCTCTTCTGTCTGCTACTCCTGAACCAAGAGGGGAGTTCCCAGGTGTTCCAGCTGCCATCATGAACTTTAACCCTCTCAAACTGTAAGCCCCAAATAAAATACTGTTTTATAAGTTTCTTTGTTCCTAGTGTTTATCTCACTCAGTTAATAAATTCTCATATATTTTCACCACCTCAGTTCTGTTCCTCTAAAGATCTCTAAAACAAATTGTGGTACCAGAAGTGTTTCTAGAGAAACAGAATTGTAAGGTGTTTTCTAGTAGGCTTAGGGGGAACTGGAACTGGGTCTTCAGCTGGACAGTCACTAAAGACTCCCCAATATGTGGGGCACTGGACATGCTGTTTAAAGAACTTGCCTAGATAAATGCATTTGATGAACTTATTTTGCCTTCTGTGAGCTGTAAGAAACGTAGTGCTTCTTGTATAAAACCTTTGCACACTTGTGGAAAACTAAGGAAAATAGTAATGCTGTTGGTTCCTTTTAGCATCTTTGGGCAAAGTTGCAAAAGAAGAAAAGTGAGAGTAATAAAACTGACTGGTTCTCGATGCGCATAAACAATCTAAAAGTTCCTAAATGTGCAACGGAAAAGTCTTTCCCCTGCAGCCTGAGAGCTCAAGTTGCAGAAAACAAAGCCCATGACTTAGTTACGTGGTTAGCTGAGTTACAGCACAAATTTAATGGCTGGCCTAGTAGGACACCAGCAGTTAGAACAAGGCACCATTTGGAAAAAGTTGAGATGCTGTGGCTTGGGCTGGTGACGTGTGGGAGGATCCTGAGCCGAGACCTGCCCACCCTTGTTGAGATGATCTCTTGTGCACCGTGTAAAAGTTGTGTTTGTGATATTCAAATGCTGATTTCTGTACCTGCAGAGATCTAATTACAGACCAGACTTCAGTATTGTTATTCTTATGGATGCATCATATTTTGTAAACAGCTCCCTTCAATGCCTTCTGATTGGTTTAATAAAGAGCTGAGGTTTCCTTTACGTTAATATTTTAAGCTAGTCTGGCTACTTCCCAGCCACACACCCCAAGTTACTTACCAATATTGGTCCTGTCTATGCTGTATCTGCTCTGTTAGGCCACATCCTTTCTCTCCATCTTCTTTTTCCTTCTCCCTTGTGGTCCCTACCTGAGACCTCAAGCCCAGGAACGGAAGCCCCATCTACCTCTCTGTTGTGGAAGTTTTGGTTTATGATATGTAAACATGTTTTTGTTTTAATCCCTGGTGTAGAATATGGGACTGATTTAGATTGTCCACAGCAGCAAACTATTTGCCTCGTGTGGGCTCTGACAGGGGCTCTTTGCCAGCTGCAAATAGTTTAATTCTGAGGACTCTGAGAGGGAATAAAGGCCAGAACCCAGAGAGAGAAAGAGGACTCCAAGAAAAAAGAATGCTGCTGGGTGCACTGTCCCCCGCCCCCTCCCACCTGCTGCTCCTGGTTGCTGTTGATGCAGCTTGACAAGAAGTCAGAGATATTCTGAAAAGAGGACTAGACTTGCCCCAAGGAACCTGATGACCCTAACCAGCAGGAAGTAACTAAGGAAAACTATGATCCCTCTCCAACTAACCTTCTTTCTCTCCTACCTGGTGTTGGAGTGTGGAAGGGATTGGGAGGGAGTAGAGAGAAATAAGAATTAAGAAACCAAAATAAAAGTTTAAAAAGTAAAGCTAATACCTCTCTTCTGCCCAGTTACAGGCTATCCAGATTTTTTATTAACCAATCAGAGATAACTGGATAACAAAAGTTTACACAACAATAGATCAGTGTACATGAGAATGCACTTGTCTGGACTGCAACCAAATCTTGGGGCCCAGAATTTAGCATTTGCATACATATAACACTAGACCAATTCCCAACATAAAATCTTCACTGTGGGCAAAATTTTGGGAACTATACATAGCCATGAATTTTGCTTGGAAGAGAAATAACCAGATGTGTGGTTGTTCACTGACTCATGGACTGTAGCCAATGACTTGACTGGATAGACACTTGGAAGAAACATGATTGAAAAATTGGAGAGAAAGACAACTGGGGAAAATAGTGTATAAATAGATCTCTCCACATGGGCAAAGAATGTAAACATATTTGTGTCACTTGTAAATGGTCACCAAAGGACGACTTCAAAAGAGGAGGAATTCAATAATCAAGTAAATAGGACGACAACCCATTCTGTGGACAGTCAGGCTCCTTCCCCAGCCATTCCCATCACTGGCCAAGGGAACCATGAACAAAGTGGCCAGGGTGACAGAACTGAAGGTTAGGTGTGAGCTTAACAGCATGAACTTCCACCTACTAAAGCTATTTGGCCTATAGTTGCTGCTGAGCCAACAGCAGGAGCCAATAACCAAGTCCTTAATATGGTCCCATTCCCAGGGATGGCCAGCAACTACCTGGTGGCAGGTTGGTTATAACTGGACCACGCCCACCATGGAGGAGCTAGCACTTTGTCCTTACTGGAACAGACATTTATACTGGCTATGTGCTTGCCTTTTCTAAATGAAATGCCTCCAGCCTGTGTGCATCTTAGCATCATTCCTATTTTAAAAAAAGTTTGCTGGGCGAGCACTCAGAGGCAGAGGCTGGTGGGTCTCTGTGAGTCTGAGGCCAGCATGGTCTACAGAGCAAGTTCCAGGATAGCTGGGGCTACACAGAGAAACCCTGCCTTAAAGCCCCAAAATAAATAAATTAGTTAAAAGGCTTTTTTTTTTTTTTTTTTTTTTGTACACATCCTTAATCCCAGCACTGCTAAGAGTAACTGTTATTTGCCTGATATAACTGTTGTCTCTGAGGCTTACTGCCTCCATCTGCTAACCTAAGCCTAGTCCTGGAAGCTTCTAGCCTCCGTACAATCTAATCTAGGCCTAGAATACTTTCAGCCTCTGAAACTTACTACTGAGTAAGCTCACTCTTTCTAGTTCTGAGCTCTGAGCTGGCTGGTTCAACTCAGCTGTTCTGGCTCAGACTCCTCCCCAAGCTGATTGATGCAACCTGGCTTCTCTCAGCTTCTGACACTTTGCTCTGCTTGGCCTCTAACTCTAGCAATCTGTTCTAATCTTCTAGCTCCTTCTCATTCTCTGGCTCGTCTGTCTTCACCTGTGTCTAGCTTGTTCTCTCTATACCCTATCTCTGGAAAACTGCCTCCTCTCGGGGTTGGGGATTTAGCTCAGTGGTAGAGCACTTGCCTAGCTAAGCGACAAGGCCCTGGGTTCGACCCTCAGCTCTGGGAAAACTAAAGAATTAAAACAACAACAACAACAACAACAACAAAAAAAAAAAAAAAAAAAAAAAAAAAAAAAAAAAAAAAAAAAAAAAACCAACTGCCTTCTCTCTCTCTCTCCCCTGTCATCTCTCCTCTCAGTTCTTGTGAGAGTTAGGCACATCCTATTCTGTCAAATCGTTCTCTGCCTTCGTCACTTTGTCTGAATTAGATGTCACTTTCAAACAGGGGTGCTTCCTTCTACAAACCAACTTTACCTTCCTTGGGATTAAGGGCATGTCTGTATGTCAACCAGAGTGGCCATGTTGCTGAATTAAAATCCCCCTACACAGCATTTGGGAGGCCAAGGCAGGTGGATCTCGTGAGTCCCAGGCCAACCAGTTACATGTTATCAAAGAACAAAATACATATTTATATATGTACTGTATAGGCATGTGTGCATGCATAATTTTATGGTTTTTAAAATGCTGTGTTTCTGTATCAGGTTAACAAGGGTGAACGAATATGGTTGGTTTTAGTGTCAATTTGCACAAATCAGAACAACCTGAGTAGGGAACCTCACCTGAAAAAGTGTTCTAACTGACGCGGCAAAGTGCCTCCTACTGCGGGCAGCCCCTCCTGGCAGGACCCAGGATAAAAAGCACTTCAAAAGTTAGGTCCTCCTCTTGCCTTTAGTTCTTTGCCTTTACCCATACCTATACCATACCTATACCGTGTGTGTGTGTGTGTGTGTGTGTGTGTGTGTGTGTTCATCCCCTCTGTTCTGTTCCTCTTGAGAACCCTGACCAAAATAGTACTGTGCCAACTCACACCCCTGACCAGCCCCACTTTTTTTTTTTTAAACATAAAACACCAGGGAAGGGGGCAGGGGGCAGGTTTGATCTGTACGAATTTTTACAGGCACTTTTCTTTTTAACAGGTTTACAAGGGATCCTTGAGAAAAGTCAAAGGGATATATTTCAATTCCCAGGCCTTGACTCAGTTGGCTCTGAATGCCAAGTTCATGCTCGGCTCCAGCCGGAGGCGGCTGTTCAGCTCACCCACACTCCTCAAAGATGTCTGGGTAGTGCCGGAAGAGCACGGGTGGATCCCGGTCCCCTCGGACTGGGGCTCCAGGCACGGCCCGGATCCCAGGCCTTCGGCCTCGGCGACCCCCTGAGCAGGACCGGTGGATCCACTGGTGCGCCACCATAGCGAACTTCCTCTTGAATCGCATGTCGCACTCGGGGCAGGGGAAGGGCCGCTCACCCGAGTGCATGCGCCGGTGGCTGAGCAGCAGAGACGGGTAGGTGAACCGGCGCCCACAGTCCGCGCACACGTGGCGGCGCTGGCTGGCCTGTGTGTCCGTGCTGGGCACCTTGGAACCTGCTGTCTGGTGTGGGGCAGCTTTGGTAGGAGGCTGTGCCCTTGTGGAGGCCTTGGCAGCCATGGAATAATTATGTTCAACGACCTCTTTAGGTTGCAGCTGAGCAGGGCTCTCTGCTGGCCTCCTGACGCCCCGCTTCTTCTTATCTGGAGCGTCTCCTGGGAAACAGAAATTAATTGCATTTTTTAAACTCATTTGTCTCCGGGCAGTGGTGGCTCACGCATTTAATCCCAGCTCTTGAGGGGCAGAGGCAGGTGGATTTCTTTGAGTTCGAGACCAGCCTGGTCTACAGCTTAAGTTTCATGACAGCCAAAGCTACACAGAGAAACCTGTCTCAAAACAAAACAAAAACCAAGCCAAAGTAAAAGAAAAGAAAACACCTTCACCTGTCCCTCTACAAAAGTAGTTGAAATGCCAGCATTTGCAAAAGCCGAATCAGGAAGACAGCACAGCCTCCATAGTGAGACCTTGTCTCAAAACAAGACAGTAAATCGATGTGGAGGCCTGCCTGTGATTCCACCACTCAAGGAGGCAGAGGCAGGCGGAGCTCTGTGAGTTTGAGGCCAGCCTGGTCTACAAAGCAAGTCCAGGACAGCCAAGGCCATACACAGCGAAACCTTGCCTTGAAAAAACAAACAAACAAACAAAAAAAACAAACCAAACCAAGAGGCAGGTAGATTTCTGTGAATTTGAGGACAACCCTGTCTAAACAGCAAGTACCAGGCCAGCCAGAGCTACCTGTCTTTGAAAAAACAAAACAAAGAAACAAACAAATACTTGGGCTGGAGAAATGCCTCAGCAGTTAAAAGCACTGGCTGCTCTTCCAGAAGTCCTGAGTTCAATTCCGAGCAAGCACATAGTAACTCACAACCATGTATCTGATGCCCTCTTCTGTCATGCAAGCACACATAGAGTATTCATATACATAAATAATTAAGTCTTTAAAAAAAAAAATCAGTGCAACAAAAATAAACGAAACAGGGGCTGGAGAGACGGTGTGGCACTTGCTGTCCTTCCAACGGACCTGAGTTCACTCCCCCAAACCCACATCAGGAAGCTCACAACGTCTGCCACCTCAGCACCAGAGGTCTCAGGCCACTGGCCTCCTCGCAGCTGCACTCATGCAGACATACACTTACACATAACGAAAAATGATTACAAAATAAACAAATAAATAAACCTTAAGTGAAGAGCTGCAGTAAAACGTAACACTTTTGCACAGACTACCCTAGCTTTTAGCCAGCTGGCACCAAAATATACTACACTGCCCGTCAACTAATACAAAGGCTTTGTTGAAAGTCAGTTAGCCAGGCGCAGTGTCGCACGCCTGCGATCCCAGCGCTCTCCGGGGGTAGAGGCAGGTGGATCTCTGTGAGTTCGAGGCCAGCCTGGTCTACAAAGTGAGTCCAGGACAGGCAGGACTACACAGAGAAACCCTGTCTCGAAACAAAACAAAACAAAACAAACAAAAAGAAAAAAAAAGTCAAACAGCTAAAATTTCCTCATGTGTCAAATAGGGAAAAAAAAAAAACCAACAATGGTTTCTTGACTTCACAGAATTATTGGGAGGATGAAATACTGCATGCTTGTTGGTCACTTAGTAAATACGTAAATACTCAATAAACCATAGTTACTGGTGTATCTTGTAAATTTTTTTTTTTTTTTTTTTTTTTTTTGCCACAGTGGTACTTTATTATAGATTCTGGGTAGTAAGAGGAGATGAGGCAGGCTGTCATTATCCAAGCGTTTTCTCATGTACCACCTTGCCTTGTTTGAGAAATATGGTAGTCAGACCTGAAACCAACTTTATTTCTAAGGGCATTTTAGGTTTTTGGGGAGAGGGCTGGGGGGTTGAGACAAGGTCTCGCTATACATAGCTTTGACTGGCTTCGAATCCTCCTGCCTCTGCCCTTTGAGCACTGGGATTAAAGATGTGTGCCACAATAACCAGCATTATTGTGGTTTTGAAAACGGGAAATGAGTGGTATTTTAACAAACCTCTAGAAACCTAGAAATTCTCTGAGCTCTAGAATCTCCTACTCTGCTCTCTCTCAAGATTTACTTCTTTTTATGTATACTGGCGTTTTAACTACATTTGGGTCTAGTGTGAGGGTGCCAGGTCCCCTGCAACTAGAGTTACGGACGACTGTGAGCAGCCATGTGGGTGCTGGGAATTGAACCCGGGTCCATCAGGAAGAGCAGCAGATGCCCTTGACTGGTAAGCCATCCTCAAGCCCTCCCTACTCTGTTCTTAGAAGTTGGCTTTCTTTTCTTTAGTATCTGACACATGTTGGCTATTGAAATTCCGCAGGAATGCTGGAAGAAAGGCTTACTAGAGAAGACCCCCCTCCCCGCGCACAAACAATCGGGAGGACGTGGGACTATCCCTCACCTCTTGGAGCTCCTCCCAGGCTTTCCCCCTCCTCAGGATCTTGGGCGGCGGGGCTCCAAGCCTCACTCTCCTGTTCCATCCAAGAGATGAGGGCTGGTTTGGGGCCCAGGAACCCTGAGAGAGAACAGGGGTCACAGTGCTGCCCTGGGGGGCTGGCCCCAGGAGATAGTATCCCAACAGGATACGAGCACCTCCTCGGAACTTATGCTCAAATTAACCAGGACAGAGTTTGCGATGCTCTTGCTTCCATGGAGACTCCCAAGGAGACCCTGAGAATGGAAGGTGGTGGTTGGTGGTGGAAAAGTGCGGGATGAGGGCTCACAATCCACTTGGCCTGTCTACGGCAACTCCCCAAGTCAACCCCGGAGGAGGGCGGAAGTGCGGGGCTCTGACTCAGGGCCTCACCGAGCGCGCCCAGGAGGCCGTAGGTCTCGCGCATCACTTCCCGGTACAACGCTCTCTGCGCGGGGCGCAGACACCCCCACTCCTGCGGGGAGAAGTACACGGCCACATCCGCGAAGCTCACGGGCTCGGGCTTCCTGAAACCCGGCCAGGTCTCCCCAGGCATCGGCACCAGCGGCGAGGCCGGGGGAGGCGCCATCCGGGAAGCTGCCGGGGTAGCGTCTAGGCGACCCAGCTTCCGACTTCCGGGTCCCGGGGAAGCCACGCCCTAGCCACGCCCCCGGACCCGGCGGCTCTCCGCGCGAACCGAACGGAGCGGGCAGCGAGCGACCGGCCGGATTGGAAACGCTCCGCAGTGTTCACGCCACAGCCGCTCGCACTGAGACACGACCCGGCTGAAGGGACCCGGAAGATGCCTCAGAAAACATGGCGACGGCCTAGTTTCAGTTGCCGCTGACGGCGTCACGGCTGCAGCCTTAACAGACACGGCGTCTCCCGGGCTCGCACTGCCCGCAGCGCCCCGTTTGCCCTTAAATACGACGGCCGCTTCGGTAGGGTTGGAGGAGCGACCTCTCTGTAACGCAGTCGCAGCCGAGGATTGTGAGGACGTGGGTGTCTTCCCGGTGTCCTCCCGGTCCCCCGGCGCGCGTCCTGCTGATGTGAAACCTGGCGGTCGGCCTCTGGAGCCTGGCAAAGCCTGTTGATACATTTCACAAACCTGGCTTGTGTCCTCAGAGGAGGAGGACTCAGAAGGCTTGAACCCGTGGCTCTGCTCGCTTAGTCTCCGCACTGAAGTTACAGGCTCAGCGATGTGCTGAGCGAGGTCGGAAATGGAATGGGGGAAGGTTTTTTAATTGCATTGTAATTTTCTGCCAGGTTTATTAATATGTAAGTGAGGCCAGCGGTGGTGCTCGGCTTGGGTAAGGCCAGCATTCAAAGACCCAGGCAGGAAGATAGCTAGGAGTTGGAGGCCAATCTGGGTTACATAAGGAGACCATGTCAAAAAGAAAAATAAATTCATTTAACTCTTTTTCTATTAAATTGAATTATAGCGTACGTACTTCTGTGTAGCCCTGACTGTCCTGGAACTCACTATGTAAACCAGGCCGAACACACCGAGATCTGCCTGCCTTTGCCTCCGCCTCTCTTGCTGGGATTAAAGGTGTGTGCCACTGTAACAAATTTTTTTAAGTGGGGGAGTGTTTGTGTTTATGGAGAAGTAAGTAAGTTTATTATTTCAAATGCTTGACTTTGTATACAATAAATTTGTGTAAAACTAAAATAAAAAGTTGGTGAGTAAAGAAAGACACCACAGTGGTAACCTCTGGACTCACATGTGTATGCATACCACACATGAACACATACATAAATAAGTTCTCATGTTCTCTAGCACACTTGGATATCTAGAAATAATGATAATTGTACTTTTTTTTTTTTTTTTTTTTCCTGACAGGGTCTCACTACATAGCTCTGGTGATGGCCTGGAACTTGCTATGTAAGCCAGAATGGCCTTGAACTCACAGAGATCCACCCTTTGGCTGCCCCATTGTACTGTGTTTTTGTTGTTGTTTTGGTTATTTGAGACAGGGTTTCCCTGTGTAGCCCTGGCTGTTCTGGACCCACTTTGTAGACCAGGCTGGCCTCAAATTCACATAGATCCACTTGCCTCCCAAGTGCTGGACTTAAAGGTGTGTGCCACCATGCCTGGCATATATACTGTGTATTTTTAAAAAGCCGAATGGAGCTGGGCCTGGGCAAAGGTTTTAGGGGGTGGCAAGAGGATCTACCAAGGCCTGCCTGGTCAGTTAAGCTAGGCCCTGGAGAGAGGGGGCAAGAGAGAAAGAGTGAGAGCAACAAGAGGGGGAAGGAGAATGGAAAAGGTGAGAAGAAAGTGGAAAGTGGGGGACAGGCAGGGCATGTAGCTAAAATGGTAGAGGGCTTGCCTAGGCCCTGGGTTCCATGCTAAGTGGCATGACCACTCTCCTCCACTTGAAAAAAAAAAGTTTTTAGCAATGAGGAGGCCTCAAAGATCTGTCCTCCTGAGGAAAACAAATCATGTGGCCCTTTTAGCTCCCCCTAAGCCTCTGAAAAAAGTGGCTTAACAACCCTCCAGATTATTAGGTTTTGTTTATTTTATCCATGTGTATATCTGTGTGGTCAAGCACAAATGGGGGTCAGAGGACAGCTTGCAAGAGACAGTTCTCTCTTTTCACCAGGTGGGTTCCAGGGATCAGCTTAGATTATCAGGACTGGTAGCCAGTGCATTTACTAGCAGAGTCATCTTGCTAGCCTCACACCTTGGTTTTTGAGACAAGCGCTCTCCCTAAGCCCGGAGCAAACTGAGTTAGCTAGCCAGGCTGGCCAGTGAGCTCAGGGGTTTCCTGTCTCCTCCCCCAGTGTTGAGGCTACATATATGCATTCTTTGTCCACCTTGTGTGTGGGTGATGAGAATTGGAACTCAGGTGCCGTACTTGCACTTTAGCGACTGAGCCATCAAGTCAGGGTAGACAGAGGAGGTGTGTGTAGAGTCGGTGGGGACCAGAGCTGCTCGTAACTGTTGAGAGACTGAATTCTTTGAACTCTTTGGGGGTCAGCCAGCCAGAGGAAAGAAGGAGGGGAGGAGAATCATACATTCCTGTGCACACACATGCTAGTTGGATGAAGCAAGACAAGCTCCAAGGAGCAAGTTCCAACAAGCTGCAACAACTTCACATATATACAGACGGACAGACAGACATATACACATTCAAACATTGGGTGGGAGGAGTCAAGCTTCAACCAGCAAGCTCCAACCATTTCACATATATACATATACACACTGGTAGATGGAGCAACAACTTATGTATCCCAGCAAAGTCTTTCAAGCAGTACAGAAATCACAATGTGGATACATTTTGTTTATACTCACTGTCTCACTGAGTCTACACAGGAAAAAAACATGTTCCCCAATACCCTCACGCGATCAAATGTTTTACATAATATGGGTGGAAAACAACCTGTCCCAGAAAACAACCTGTTCCCAAGAACCCACATACATTTGTAACTAAGCAACTTGTAGACAAGCAAGGTAATTTTCTTCAGCCAGTCTTTACTGGCGGGCTGCAGTTTTCGGTTATAAAGACTCGATTATCTTAAAAAATAATCTTATAAAAATCTTAAAAGAATCCCAAATCTAAACTTTTTTGTAAAACAAACAGCCATTTTACTTTAAATCCTCAATGTACACAACTCTTCATTAACAATTTTTATTAAATCATATCTGGAGGCTGAGGGCAAAAACAGATACAAGAAATTAATCACCTTGAAGCCCAGCTTCAATGAGAGAGTCATGTCAGCCAGTGCTAATTGGAGTATTGATCTTGCTCACCAACCTCAAAGAGGCCCCAGTTCAATTATTAAGACTGCTTTTCTGAACTTCAAATTGTTCCCTGAATTGTTGGGGGTTTTTGTTTGTTTGTTTGGTTGGTTTTTCAAAACAGGAAACAGGGTTTCTCTGTTTTAGCCTTGGCTGTCCTGGAACTCTTTAGATCAGGCTGGCCTTGAACTCACAGAGATCCACCTGCCTCTGCCTCCCGAGTGCTGGGATCGCAGGCAATTGCATTCCTCTTTTAGCAAAGTTGTATTAATGTATTCACGGGAGTGGGATCAGAAGGCTCAGCAGGTAAAGCGCTTTTTTGTACAAGCTGGTGACTTAAGTTCAGCCCCTGGAACTTATGTAATAGTGGAAGGGGAAGCCAGATATGGTGGTGCATGATTTAATCCTAGCAGGAAGATCTCTATGGATTCAAGGTTAGCCTGGTCTACAATCTAAGTTCCAGCCCAGCCAAGGCTACATAGTGAGACTTTCTCTCAACAACAACAAAAAATGGAAAGAGAACCAAGTCCACCAAGTTGTTCTTTTACCTCCGCACATACCCCCAGATACACTGTGTACACCCACACAATGATAGATAGATACACAGGTACATAGATTTTAAAAGCTAACAGGTCAGGGCTGGGGATACCGCCTGATAAAGAGCTTGCATAGTTATTGGTTCAAACCAAGTGTGATCATAGCAAACCTGTCTCTAAAAACAACCAAACAACACAAAACAACCACACAACAGTCAACGGCAAAAGCAGCCTGGCATTTACCACCAAACCTGATGACCTGAGTTCAATTCCTGGGATCCGCGTGCTGGAAAGAGAGGATGGATCCTTCTAAGTTTCCCTCTGATCCTCATGCAAACCAGACACACACATGAATACATTGTAAAAAGAAATTTTAAAGAAAGGAAGAAATGGATGGACTTACAGCTAGCATGATCCCCGTATCACCTCCTAACCTCTCCCAGCCATTAGAACTACCTCTACAGAAGAAAATACTAAGTCAAAAATATTAATAGTATCCCTGCAGGGATCGCAAAGGATACCTGCCCCGTTATACCTCTCTTATTTGGCCTGTATGGAACCCAGAAAATGACTGGATGATGATGATGATAATGATGATGATGATGATGATACTTTTAAAATATTTGTTTGCGTTTTATGTGTTTTGCCTGCGTGTGTATCTGTGTGCCATGTGGGCGCAGTGCCTGATGAGGCCAGAAGAGGGCACCAGATCCCCTGGAACTGTAGTCACGCAGGATTGTGGGTGCTGGGAGTCCAACTTAGGTTCTCTGGAAGAGCAGCCAGCGCTCTTAACTGCTGAACCTTGTCTCTAGCCCGTAATTGACTTATTTCAAACTTCACTAAGAGGTGACCCAAATGGTAGGCGCCCTGTCACATATGGTTACATTTCTGAGCAAAGTGACACAGTTCTATCTTTTTCCTTTCTGCAAGATGATGATGGGAGCCCTCTAAAGGCAGCTACTGGTCATTTGGTATGTCCGGGTGGGAAGACAAGACGTTTAGCAAGTCACTGTGGGAAATAATGTTTACTGCAATTCAGAAGCTTTCTAATTTGGTGCATTTGGCTTCCTAATGGGGTGTGTCAATATTTCCTGTTGACATTCGTTTTTAACGCTATTTTATTTGGGATTAGTTAACCCTCTACCGCCTTTCCACCAACCCTTTAGCCCTAGGTAAAAGAGAGAGAGAGGGTTAGTGGAGAGAGGGGCATAAACCACTTTACTTCTCATGGCTGTTTAGGATTGATGGGTTCTTTTGGGTCAATACCAATCTCTGTCAACAGCAAAGGCAGCAAGCGGTCCCCTTCTTCTATCTCCTCCAAACTGCCACCACTTCCATCTCTAGTCTCTTCAAACTGCCACACCTTCTCTTTCTGGGCTGTCATATTTATCCCTCTCAGAGTCCTAGACCATGCTCCTCTCTGTGCTGCACGAGGCAGGCCCTTATGAGTTGGCAAAGACCACACCCCTGCAGGAGTCAATTAAACTAAAGCCCAAACTAAAATCCCACTCGGATTAAAACAAAAATATTTATATAACATACCTGCATTTCTAAAGAAACCAAAACTTCATTAATTTCCTTTGTGAAGTAAAGGGATATCTGGCCTTTCCTAGAACCAAGAAAGAGAGACAATGCCCAGGAGGTCCGTCTGGATTTAGAACAACACATTCCTTGCGTAGGGGTGCTACTCCTCCGTTGTATCTACTAAGGAGAAGGGGAAGTTGATTGTTCTGTCTCTAGTTATGTTTGTTGTGTCGTGTATGTGTGAGCAGGTGCCCAAGAGGCCAGACGTATTGGAGCTGGAGCTATGGGCGGCTGTGAACCACCTGGCGAGGGCACTGGAGATTCAACACAACGGATATTCTTAACTGCAAAGCTCTCTGCAAACCCACTGCTGGCTTAGAACAGGACCCAGAGTAGAAGGCTCTGCAACAAGTCTGTGCTTCAGTGCCTGCCGTTCTGCCACCTGAACCAGACCATCCAGGAAATGCAATGGTGTCTAAGCAGTTGTGGGATAAGAAAGACGCTGTGTGGAGCCTCCATTTGCCCTCCGAACGTGAATTACAGTGGAGGACCTTAGGATCTGCAACAAGGCCCCCCATCATCGGCAAATTACTCTCCTTTTAAAATAGCACTCTCCGCCTTATGTCCAGGCTTAGCGGAAATTGAATGCTTGACCACAGTCCACTACCGTGGGGGCTAGGGCCAATTGAGATAAGGAGCACAAATGGACTTCATCATCAAATAGAAGTTGTAAGGGCTGGGAGTACATGCTCAGTTGTAGAGTGCTTGCCTAGCATATGTGAGATCCTAAGTTCAGCACACACACACACACACACACACACACACACACACACACATGCACGCACACACGAATGCATACGCTCCAGTAACATTAATATATATGTGATCTGGCCCAAGCAGGTTCTGAAGGCACAAGTAAGACACAGGTTCCCCAAATTCCCATGCTTTCTGCTACTGCTACACTTTGCCTTTTTTATTTGTTTTTGTTTTCTGAGGCAGGGTTTCTCTGTGTAGCCTTGGCTAACCTGCACTCACTTTGTAGACCAGGCTGGCTTCGAACTCACAGAGATCCACCTGCCTCTGCCTCCCCAAGTGTTGGGATTACAGGCGAGCACCACCACTGGCCACTTCGCCCTCTTGCTCCCAGCCCAGGCTTTATGGGGGACACCATATGAGTTATGACGGAGGGGAGGTCCAGGCTTTGGCTGACGGACAGATGTACATGCTTCACCCAAGGCAGACAGCTTCAGCGCTGCCACTGTCTGGCTGCTTTTGTAACTATCGGTTATTTTCCGTTTCTATCTTAACCCGGCTACCACACAAATCGAGACGCTTTTACATTTGTTATTAATAAGCTTCACAACACATCTGGGTTTGCAAAAAAATTCAAAGCCCTCCCCTCAGCGAGTCTCACACACTTGAGCCATTCACAGGTCTAAAATACCTGGTTCCCACCTCTTTACTTTTGGTGATGCCGGGAATCAAGCCCAGTATAAGCTAGGTAGGCATTCTATGCCTGAGACTCATCTCCAACTCTGAATGCAGCGAGGCTGGGCTCCCTTCATAAAGGACTATGTCACTTTGGCGAAAGTACGATGTAGAACTTCCCAGCTAGCCAAGGGCACAGGCACGTGCAGCCACCTACTGTTGTGACTAGGCATTAGAAGAGGGTAAATAACTAGAATTTTTTGGTGATTATTGGGCGCTGGATCTCAACTGACTGTAAATCTGAGAGACCCCAAATGCTGCTGCATTCTACCGGCACAGTGGCCATGGATCAGGTGGCCGCAGGGAGGGCTAACTCAGTTCCAGAGAAAGCTCATCTTCAAGACTAGTACTCTGCCTGCTCCTGGGAGTGACACCCGAACCCTTAGAATATTTTATGCAGGGCTGGAGAGACGGCTCAGTGGTTAGGAGCACTGGCTGCTCTTCCAGAGGACCTAAGTTGATTCCCAGCACCCACGTGGTTGCTCACAACTGTAACTCCACTTCATATGGATCTGATGCCCTCTTCTGGCCTCCATGGGTACTGCATGTGCACAGTGCACAAATATACATAGACAAAACAGACCCATTAAAGAATTATAATCATAAAATAATTTTGCCAGGCAGTGGTAGCACACACCTTTAATCCCAGCGCTCGGGAGGCAGAGGCAGGTGGATTTCTGGGTTTGAGTCCACCCTGGTCTAGAGAGTTCCAGGACAGCCAGGGCTAAACAGAGAAATCCTGTCTGAAAAAAAAAAAAAGGGGGGGGGGATGCAATGAGAGCAGTTTTGTGTGTTGGAGTCTTGGCTCATTCTGTGCCAGCCTAACTGCTAACCCTAATGCTACGCTTGCTCACAGGGTCAGAGTGAGGGAACTGCGGTCTAAGAGGCTGAGGTCAGCACAGCACAGGGCACAAGGAAAAAGCCAAAAGGCCCATCTGTGTATTGCTACAGCCGGCTACGAATCAGAGTGCATTAGTGGATGCAGTGTGTAAAAAAACAGCAGGCATGAATGCAGAAGAAAGTTATCAGAAACCAAAGACAGGCCAGGAGGATAATAGTCTCTCTCTCTCTCTCTCTCTCTGGCTTTTCAAGACAGGGTTTCTCTGTGTTAACCTTGGCTGTCCTAGACTCACTTGTAGACCAGGCTGGCCTCGAACTCACAGTGATCCACCTGCCTCTGCCTCCCCGAGCGCTGGGATTAGAGGCGTGTGCCACCGCACCCATCTGGGATATTAAAAGGGTGTTTTAAAGACAGATTTTAGTGTGTTTATAGGCTAGAACGTGTGTGTACGAAACAAGAGGACTCTCATAAATGTAGAGGGAGGAGAATGTTGAGGATGGCATCCAGGCACGGTTATGTTGGCGAACTTCACATGAAGGACTCCCCCGAGATTTGATAGAAACAAGTACACTAGAAGGTACACTGGGGCATTGGGAGAGGGCAGCGGGGTGTGGGTAGTTTCTTTTTCTGTGGTCCTTTGGTGAGCCAAAGGTACTCACTGCCAAGAATATCCGATAGCATCCCAAATATTGGGAGGATCAAGTGAGGCTGAGGCTAGGAAAGGAATTTCGGGTCACAGCCCTCTCAGAAGCACTCAGGTTCTTCCCGTATATTTCATAGAGAGGAATTTATTGATGCTAGGATCCTCACTAACGAAAGGGCCAGGATCATGTCTGGAATGGACCCCAGCAGTGGGGAAGCTTAGGAAGCCTGCATAGCTCTCTCCTCTGCTCTCCATGGACAGGATGGAAGGCAGCCACAACAGCGTTCCAGTTTTAGGTGACAACCTGGACCCAGAAGCAACTGTAAAATTCCAGAGGCAGCTCTAACAGCGGAGACCTGGCGGGCATCTGAGGTCTTAGCTAGGGAAAGGCGGATCCAACCTCCATCATAGCACTAACCTTCTCAGCCAAGGAACTAGATTCACATTTGGTGACGAGTAATTCCAGAAGGGACAGGATTCATCCATTAAGTAGTTTAATGAAATCCTATCTGGCACGGCCCCTGCCCAGAGGGCACTCACCCATCATCCATGAAGAAACAGACAAATGGTTACAATCAACTTCTTAAACACCCAACCAGAGGGGAGGACGGGTCAGCGTTTCCCACCTGCTCGCCACCTGGAGCTGAGCTCGGCTGCAATGCAGAAGGATGACCCACCTCAGCCGTCAGTGGTAAGCCGTGTTTGGAGATTCCACTTTGGTACAGCTGCCCAAGGCAAGAAGGTAGTGAAGTTTTACTGAGTACCTAGTCAGGTGGGTGCCATGGGGGCACAGGGAGGTTAAGACACAACGCTCTCAGGACCTCTACCCTCCAGAACGACCAGAGCAAAAGCTGAATGGGGTCCCATGGAAGGTTCCATGCTGTTTCCTTATTTTGAAGAAAATGGGGGGGAGGGGAAGGGGCAGCCAGTTCCCAAGGGTTTTCCAGCCACTGGCTACCTATAGCGATCTCAGACCTACCCTTCCCATGTTCACCTCCTGCTGCTGGATACCGCCCCCCCCCCCCACTTCTTCTGAGAATCAAACCTCTCAGTGTGCTGTGCTGATGGCTCATATCCACTCTGAGCCAACTTTCCAAAAGTGGTGACGATTTGGCTTTACCACTTCCCTAAAAAGAAAGGTTAGGACGTTTAGAGGTCTGAAGTCTGACACAGTGGCATTTCCCCCAAATCAGTACGGCCTAGTTAAAACCAAAACAGCCTGGAGGGGTGCATAGCACTCTGTTGTTTTTGTGTGATCCTTAAAATGCTAAAAATGGCACATTTGGAGATTTCACATGTGGGACCTGAGGGCCACTCTTCAAAGGATGCCTGACCCAGAGCTGGAGAGATGGCCCAGTGGCCAAGGGCACCGGCTGCTCTTTCATGGGACCTGGGGCTCGGTTCCCAGCACCCACATGGCGGCTCACAACCATCTGTAACTCCAGCTCCAGGGGCTCTGATGGCCTCATCTGGCCTTCTTTGGGTACTAGGCCCAAACACGGTGCATAGATACACATGCAGGCAAAACATTCAAACACATAAAATAAAATAAATATTTAAAATATATATATACACCTATATATATATTTTTTTTTAAAGAATGACTGACCAGAATTGTGGTGTCCGCCTACCACTCCCATTCCTCAGAAGGCTGAGGTGGGCAAATCACTGACTCGCACAGGTTGGAGACCACTTGAGGCAGAAAGACCACCATCTCAACACCCCACACACACCCACACACACAGAAACATGGGACCAACTTGGGTACAAAATAGTTGTGATTAAGCTTTTGTGAAGAGCACCCTGTGGGTAAGCGCTGAGTACTCTAGACCAGGTTTACAAAGGAGAACGCAGTACGTAGCCTTCTAAATATCAGCACCATGTCACAGGGAAATGACCCGGCACGTGAGGTAGTGAGTTCCAGTCCGTTTCCAGCAATGACCTATCGCCAGGCCGCAGGAGTGTCGCGAACGTGGAGCCAAACCCAGGTTTTCCACGTGGTACGGAGACAGGGGCAGAGCAGGGAAGGTTCTGCCCCTGTCAATGAATGTAACCTGTACACACTAAACTAAGGAGGCCCCTAACATAGCCTGGGGGAAGAACACACCCACGTTACTTTACGACAGGTTAGCTCGGGAAACTTTAATGGAATGGCATCATCTCTCCCGATAACTGGTTCAGACGTGCTTGCAGGACAGCGGTGCGGCGTTTCAGGGCGCGAGGCAGGGGACCAGAGCTCCGCTCCTGCTCCGTGGGACCTCCGCCAGCTTCTCCGCGGCGGCCTCCCAGTCTTCGTCGTGCTAAAGCGCGCTGCTCTTCGGGCTGGGCCCTCCGAGGGCAGGCCTGGGGCCGCTGCTGGGGGTGCTGGGGCTGCACTTGTGAACGGCCAGGGACCACCTCTGGCGGAAGCATCGGCCGCACTCCAGGCAGGGGAAGGGCTTCTCCCCGGTGTGCAGGAGCTGGTGCTGAGCCAGGTGGCTCCACTGGGCGAAGCGCTTGGAGCAGAGGTCGCAGGCGTAGGGCCGCTCGCCCGAGTGCACGCGCCGGTGGCTGGCCAGCAGCGACGGGTAGGCGAAGCGGCGGCCGCAGTCGCCGCAGGCGTGCAGCTTCTCCTCCGTGTGGGTGCTGCGGTGGATGGCCAGGGAGCCGCTCCTCCGGAAGGCGCGGCCGCAGTCCGGGCAGGGGTAGGGCTTCTCGCCCGTGTGCAGGAGCTGGTGCTGGAGCAGCGTGCTGCGCTGGGAGAAGCGGGCCTCGCAGTGCTCGCAGGCGTAGGGCCGCTCGCCCGAGTGCACCCGCCGGTGGCTCACCAGGCGGGAGGAGGAGGAGAAGCGCCGCTCGCAGTCCGGGCACGGGTACGGCTTCTCCCCGGTGTGGATGCGCTGGTGGATGACGAGGGCGGTGCGCTGGCGGAAGCGGCGGCCGCACTCCAGGCAGGTATAGGGCTTCTCGCCCGTGTGCGTCCGCTGGTGGATGGCGAGCAGGGACGGGTAGGCGAAGCGGCGCCCGCAGCTGGGGCACGGATGGGGCTTCTCGCCCGTGTGCGTGGTCCGGTGGTTGGCCAGGGAGCGGCTCCTTCGGAAGCAGCGGCCGCAGTCGGGGCAGTGGTAGGGTTTCTCGCCCGTGTGTATGACCTGGTGCTGGGAGAGGTTCTTCCGTTGGGAAAACCGTTTGCCACACTGGTCACAAACGTAAGGGCACTCGCCCGAGTGTGCCCGCCGGTGGCTGACCAGCAGGGATGGGTAGGAAAAGCGGCGCCCACAGTCCGGGCAGGGGTAGGGCTTCTTCAGGTTCTGGGCACACTTGTGGCTCTCCAGGGCCGGGTGGTCGGGGAAGGTACACCCACAGTCGGGGCAGATGGGGCCCCCGGACGTCTGCCTGGGAATCAGCCGGGGTTTGCTGGGCTTTCGCCCTCGTTTCCCCTTCCGCGGTGCTTCCTTGGGCGGGAATACTTCCTTCTCTTCGTTCTTCTGCCTGGTTCTGGTTTCTACCGAGAAACAACAGAATTAACAAACACTGGACTCCTGTGCTTGCCTGTTGAGAACGTTAATGGTTACAAGAACAATGCACTCAGCTCCTGTTAACTGTTATTGTTATTGTCAGAGGCAGTTTTAAGTGTGTCATGGAAATGTGGACGCCGTTTGTTTGGACCTCCTCAACCAGATCAAGGATATTGTTGGTCTTGTTTTTTTTTTTTTTTGGGGGGGGGGGGTAAGGTAAGCTCACTTTTAAAGTGAGGGTTCGACTTGGTTGGCAGAGCGCTGGCCTGGATCCTGCAGCACATCAAACGCCTCATCCTTGGCTACACAGCAAATCTGAGGCTTCAACTAAGATATGTGAGACTCTGTCCTCAAACACAATCCAACAAAAACTTTGAATGTTTGGGGTAGTTGGGGGTGTAGCTCACTGGGGCGCACAGAAAACTGTGTCCCCACCTACTTTGTAGAAACTTGCTTTCTTTCAGTGTTTTGGGGTTTTGCTTGTTTCCAGACAGGGTCTCATGTAGCCTAGGCCGACCTTGAACTTCTCCCGTACACTCCTGCTTCTGCCTGCCAGGTGCTATACAAGCAGTATACCTTATCTGTGCGATGCTGGGCCAAAGCCTGAGCTGCCTGCCTGTTGAGGCATGTGCTGTGCTGAGTGAGCAGCACTCCCAGCCGTCTTCACAGGGTTTTATGATGCTGTGCGAACATACGGTCTCCCCAGACAGCAATGTGTAATTATTGCACTTCCCTTTTTCCCCACTTTGTAGTCCAAAGATATTTTCACAAAAGAAGATGGTGACAGGTCTCCCAGAGCTGGGCTTAAGGCAGCTGTAAGCTGCCCCAGTGTGGGTTCTGGGATCTGAACTCAGGGCTTACTGGAAGAGCAGCAAGTGCTCCTAACTCCTGAGCCAGCTCACCAGCTCAGAATTTGCATTTTTAAAGCATTCCTGTGCTGCTTTTATGTCAACCTGAAACAAGATGGAGTCACTTGGGAAGTGACAACCTCAATGGAGAAAATGCCTTCACCTGGTTGCCCTGTGGTGCATTTTCCTAATTAGCAAGTGGCCAGCCCATTTTTGATGCCATTCCTGGACAGGTGGCCTTGGGGTATATAAGAAAGCAGGCTGAGCAAGCCAGGAGGAGCAGGCCAGCAGGCAGCCCTTCTCTAGGTCTCTGCTTCAGTTCCTGGCCTTGCATTCCTTTGATGTTGTACTGCGTTGTGAAAGCTGAGTGAAACACCCTTTCATCCTCAAGGTGCTTTTGGTCATGATGCTCAATGCTCAATGATAGCAATGGAAACCCTGACTAAGACAGAAACTGGTACCAGGAGTGGGGTATTTCTGAGACAAACCTGAACCTCTGTTCTGGGGAGGAGTGTGATGGCAACTCCGGGCTGGAAAAGCTGTTGAGTGCCGAGTTAATGGGTGGGAACTTAGAAGGTGGTGCTGGCAGCAGTGCAGATCACGATGATGGCCTGTGAAATTTCAGAGGAAAGCCTGAGGCTCCCTAAAAGACGCTACCAAAGCCATTTATGTGACAGCTTTAATTAGAAACCACTAAAGAAAAAAGAAACCTTTGCCTAGCTGGGACAATTGATACTGTCAGCTGGCTTTGACAAGTTGGCACAATTAAAAAACACCAGCATCACCCAGGATGATAAATCCGGGAGTATTTCCTCAGGGTCAGCACTCAGAAGCTGTGATCCATGAGGATATCGTGTTGGCAGCTAAACTTGATCATGTGTAAGTTTGCCAAGTTGTGTTAGTTTGGAAGGCATGAAGGGTCCTGAAGAGCAATGAGGTTTGGTACTGTGACAGGCAAGCCTAGGTCTCAGTTGAAGGAGACACCTCAGGACTGAAGGGCTCATGGAGAGAAACTGAGGTCTGGCACCGTCAGGGTCACTATCTCTAAAGAGACTGCAGGTGGAGGTATGGCCTCAGCGTCTGGAGATAGCATTACCACGGATGACCACCACCACCAGCTGCAGGATGGAGCTGGCTCGAGGAAACACGCTGTACATGCGCTGATGGCAGTCAGGGAAGAACCAAACCCTCTGGAGCCTAGATCACACTGGGCTTCGTGCTGCTGGCATTTGGTTTTGCTTTAATTTTATTGTGATTGATTTTTTTTTTTTAAACAGGAACCCATGGTTAATTTTAGAGAGACTTTGGATATTTTAGAGGAACTCTGAAAGAGACTTTGGACATTTAAGGAGATGCAACTTTTGGAGTGTTTGAATTGAGGTCCTGGGATGAACAAGAAAGGAAAGGTTATGGTTAACTGGGTTGTGTTTGTGTGTCAAGCTGTGAAGGGGTCAATTGTGCTGCCTTGCTTTATGTCAACCGGAGATAAGTTAAGAGTCGTTTGGGAAGGAGGAACCTCAATGAAGAACATGCCCTCACCAGAATGGCCTGTGGTACATTTTCTTAGTGATCCATGTGGGAGGGCCCAGCCCACTGTGGGAGGCACCATCCCTAAGCAGGTGTTCCTGGGTATGTAAGAAAGTAGGGAGCAAGCCACTAAGCAGCCTGCAGCTTCTGCTTTCCTTCCTCCCTGACTCCCTTTAATGATGGATTGTAATATGATCTTGTCAATGAAATACACCCCTTCCTCCCCAAGCTGCTTTTGTCATGGTGTTTATACAGCATAGTAACCCCTGACTAAGACAACTGCCAAATACTCAGCTGCTGGTCTAGAAGCACGTTGAGAGAGCGGAACAGTTGTAAACAACGTTAAAGACCTTGGACTGTATTTCATCCAGTAGCTCACATTCAAATCGGTGAGGGTTTCCTTTCCTTTTTTTAAATTCGAGTGAACCTGGGGCTAGAGAGATGGCTCGGAGGTTAAAGGCTCTTCCTACTCTTCCAGAGGACCCAGTTTAGCTCAGTGGAGGCTTGGTCCCGGATCCTAGGAAGCCCGGTCTTTTTCAAAGCTCAGGATTCACTTGTGTCAAGGGAGTACTGCTAGTTTGCCCACACTACAACAACCTGCTTAACTAACCAGACGACAGATCTAGGTTGGGTCAATAGAGGGCTGCAGGGTCTCCACGGGCATTCTCACTCACTTCTCTGGAATGTTACCCATCTCCGGTACTCCTGCGGATCTAGGGCTGCGGGTTCCCAATCATCGGTATTTCGTTCCAACCAGGAGATGAGAGCTGGTTTGGGACCTGCGCATCCTGGGGAAGGAGAACCAGTCAGAGGGCTGGCCTCGGAAGATGCTAAAAAGAAACAAAAACAATATGCCGAGGCTCTGCCCCCACCCCTAACCAGCAGCTCGCAGGTCAGGACCCTGGGCTCCCTGCCCCCACTCTACCCCGCCCTCAAGCTCCATCATCCCTTCAGCCGATTGGGCCGGGCCTCACCGAGCGCGCCCAGGAGGCCGTAGGTCTCGCGCATCACATCCCGGTACAGCGTCCTCTGCGCGGGCCGCAGACACCCCCACTCCTCCGAGGAGAAGTACACGGCCACGTCCGCGAACTTCAAGGCCCTTGGCCTCCTGCCCCTTCTCCGAGTAGGGCCGGCCTCTCCGGGTGCCCGCGTGGGGAGCGGAGCCGAAGGCGGAGCCATCGGACCTGCGCCCGGCCTTGCCCCGGGCGCCGCGCCCCCCCAGACCTCGGAGCCCAGCCGGGAAGGCCCGGAGGAAACGTGAATCGGCTGCCTGAGGGGCCTGGCGGCCCAGCACAGAGCACCCCGCTATTCAGGAAACTCCCGCTGCAACTTGGGTGAGAGGCACCGGGAAATGCCTTCGGGGAAGATGGCGGCGCCGCTCCTGCACCACCGCTGCCTAGACCACAGGCAGGTTCCAGCTATCGATTTTATTGACCCGAGCGCCATGCCGGCTTCTTAACCACCCTGCCCTGAAGTGTAATGGCGCTGCGAGATGGCTTCTTGCCTACTTTCCCCCCCTTATCTATTGCCTTCGTTTATTGGTCCGTAGCTGAAGATCGGGGGCTCTGATTGGGTGTCGGCGAAGGCGGCTCATTTGAATGAAGCCAACGGATTCTTAAGGGCAAGAAGGTGATAGCGTGTTTGTAAGCAGGTTGTGAGATGTGTAATGCACGGGAGGCTCTTGTGTTGTCCAGTGTTCGTTGGCCCTGGTTGGAGAAGACATTTCTACACATCTCCCTAGGGAAAGCCACACAATGCCAGCATTGGTTTGCTGAACAACTGCATTCTATGGCCAGTAAGTGGCCACAGCCAGGAGTTCTGAAGTCCCAATGCTTTAGGACGGTGGCTCTTTGTTTTGAAGCCTTGTGCTTATCACTCTTTGTACAGTGGGGTGAATGCACACTTAGGCTGGAAGGGGGAGCAGAGGCAAATGGCTAGCTGATCTTTTCGTTTGTAAGGAAGCAAGGAAGTCACTTCCCTACTGCTGCTTTCCTAAATGGTGCAGCTTGTGTCATCCACATGTCCCAGGACAGCATGGACAACATAGGTCCTGTTTTTAAAAGAAGGGGATATAGCCCAGGGGCAGGGCATTTGCCTAGCATGCATGAGGCCAAAGTTCTAGAAAAATATTTGTTAAAACAGAAGCATGACTGGGTAAGAAACCAAACTCTTTGCGCCCTTCGGAAAAGAATACCAGGACAACCAGTAAGGAAGACTGCAGAAATGCGGAGAAGATTCACAAATCGAGAGGCCACACACAGATTCTGTGCCTTTGCTGTTGAGAGCTAAGTAAGCACCAGGAATACTAGAGTAGATGGTGTCTGAAGCTTACTATCAGAAGTCCTTACGAGGATAATTATCACAATGCCACAGAGCAAAGCCCTGAACTTCATTGCCTGTAACGGCCCCTCCCCAAAGAGAACAACAAACGTCGGAAGACAGCTGAGTGCGGTGGCGCAGGCCTTTAATTCCCAGCACTTGAGAGGCAGAGGCAGGCGGATCTCTCGAGTCTGGGGGCACTGTGGTCTACAGAGTGAGTTCCAGACCATCCAGTGCTACCTCAAAAAATAGTCCCTCAAAAAAAAAAAAAGAATGAGAACAAACCCCACAAGTCTGGATCAGCTTGCTTAGAATCTGTATTAAATGTAGGGATGAGATCTGAACCTGGGATCTGACTCTGGGGCTTTTCACTAGGATGAAAAGCCTTAAGCTAACTTCTCCAAAGCTGGTGAGATGGCTTGGTGGGTAAGAGAGACTTGTTTCTTGCAGAGGACCCAAGTTCTGTTTCTAGCACTCACATGGTAGCTCACAACCATCTGACACTGTGTCCTCCACCAGCAGCAGGTACGCCTGTGGTGCACACACAGCCAGGCAGAGCATCCGTGTTCATAAAGTAATTTTTTAAAAAAAGATTCACTCCCGCCAGGCGTGGTGGTACACAATTTTAATCCCAGCATTTGGAAGGGAGAGGCAGGCAGATCTCTGTGAGATTTCAAGTCTAGCCTGGTTTACAAATCGAGTCTAGGACAGCCAAGGCTACACAGAGAAAAACCAGAAAGAGAGAGAGAAAGAAATAAATTAAGGAGAGAGAGAAAGAAAGAAAATAAATATTCCTCCCCACCCCCTACTCCCCACTAGTTCAAGAAAAAAAAAAATTCACTCCATGGATCATGGTCATCGACTGTCAGTACCTAGAAATGCAACCTTAAATGTTAACGCACTTTCATTTCACAGACTGCCTGGACCCTAACCTTTGCCCGAGGGGTCACCTCACCATAAACCAAGACTAGGACAAGCAATATCAGTCCTAGGGAGAAGTAGAAAAACTACTTAATTGCCTTTTCTTCTTTTCCAGACAGGACCTCATGTTGTCCCAGCTAGCTCTGCTGGTAGAACAGAACATCTCAGGGAGTAAGCAATTAACACTTGATACACAGTAGCTCCGTATCAACCACAACATACATAGCTTTCATTTTGAGTTCTTTCATAGCTCCTGGCCCAGGCCCCCCACACCACATCTCTGGAACTACCTGAAAGATGAATTCCTTAGTACAGGGACTACCCAGGAAGTCTCCCAGTCTTTTGCCTCCCTTTTGCTAGACCCGGGGACTAGTGGGCTCTCAGGGCATACTTCCTCTGGAAGCTCTCCCCCGTGTCCTCGCACCTGGTGTGGTACGAGGACAGGGTTGTTAGTATTTTGTAATCACCATGCCCAAATCCTTGACAGAAACAAGGGAGGGTGAATTTATTTGGGTTCACAGTTTCCGAGGGTTTGGTTCATGGTGGCTTGCCTTCATGCACTTGAGCAGAACGTTATGGAGGCAAGAACATGTGTAGAAGGAGGCTGTTCCCTTGACATCAGACAGGAAGCAGAGAGAAATAGGAAAGGGTCAGGAACACATACCCCCAAGGTCCCACCCACAGCCAGGTCCCACCTTCTAAACCTTTCAGAACCTGCCAAAATAGCACCATTAGCTTTGGACCAAGCATTCGATACTGAGCCTATGGGCAGACAGCTCATATTCAAAGCCTAACAACCTCTCATCAGCCATATGCCGTGGCTGAGCAGGAGGGAGTCAGGGAGAAGCAGAAGTTGAATTCTGCATAGGCGTGCCAAGCCCTGTTTGCCACTTACGTGTGTTCACACCTAGGACTGGCTGCAGGAGCCTCCATGGCAGATGCCCTACCCATGGCTAGGGCACCAGCAGAACATCTCTGTTTGAAGTTTCCCAGCTGGCATACTGAGCTCCAGATTATAGGCAGCCTCGAAAGTGCTTGACGGTGGTTGGCCATAGGGAGAGGTAGGCCTGGTGGCACCCACAGTCTGTGCATGAACAGGCTCAGGTGGAAAACACAGCCACAGTTGGGACAAGGTGTAGGTTATGTCCCCTGCATAGAGAAACTGGTGCTGGATCAGGTGAGCTTTCTGAAAGAAGTAGGTACAAGGGCTGAGGGTATGGTGTGGTGGTACAATGTTTGCTGTGAGGAGACACCATGAAAGGCAACTCTTACAAGGGACAGTATTTAATTGGAGCTGGCTTTACATTTTCAGAGGTTTGGTCCGTTATCAGCATGGCAGGAAGCATGGCAGCATGCAGGCAGACAGGTGCTAGGGGACCCGAGAATTCTACATCTTGATCCAAATGCAGCCAGGAGGAGCACGAACCAGAAACCTCAAAGCCTACCTCCACAGTGACAAACTCCATCAAGAGCTCACCTCCTAATAGTGCCACTCCCTATGGGTCAGACATTCAAAGACATGAGTCTGTGGAGCCAAACCTATTCAAGCCACCACACCCAGCATGCATGGGACCCAGGGTTCCATCCACGGTGCTCTTAAAAAAACACAAAAATGAAGCAGAATGCATAGTGCTGTAAGATGGGGTCTCAGCCAGAACAGAGGCAGCATCTTCTGAGCATGGATACGTTATCGCCTTGAATCCCTGAAGCAAGGTCCGGCTGCAGGCAGGCTCTTGCCATACTTCCATAGTGGGTTTTCCCTTAACTAGGCTGTATCACAGGTAAAGTTTTCTTTCGAACAAGGTCTCACTGTGTAGCCCAGGCTGGCCTTGAATGCATGGTGACTCTCGTGCTGCCTCCCACATATTGGGGTGACAGGCGTGTGCTGTCACATGTGGCTGCATCAAGGTTCTTGAGTCTTCTTCCGTCTTAATTGCTTACTCTTACTTTTTGTAAAACAAGGGACCTTGGATCTCTTTGAAGCCAGCCTGGTCTAAATAATGAGTACCAGGACTCATTATTAATGGTACTCATAGTACCAGTGTCCAGGACTATGTAGAAACTTGTCTAGAAAAGCCAAAAAAAAAAAAAAAATTAAAAAAAAGAAATTGTCTTTGGGAGATGAGGGGGTGTAGTTGTATGTGAACCTAGAACAGCATGGGAGATTGTTATTCAAGACACAGGACTTGTGTGGAAATCTATATTCAGAGAGGCCCCTCCCCCCATCTGGTACAGGAGTAGTTTTCCAAGGGGGGCGGGGACTGGGAAACTTACAGAGGCATAGGAAGGAGGAGTCCTCACTCCTGGGTCTGACTAAAGCCTCTGGCTAACCGAGATGAAAGAGCATCTGCTGAGAAAGTTGTGGTCTCAGGGTTTTATTGCTGTGTAGACACACCATGGTCATAACAACTCTTATAAAAAAGAACATTTCTTGGGGCCGGCTTACAGTTTCAGAGGTCCAGTCCATTATTGTCATGGTGGGAAGCATGGCAGCGTGCAGGCAGACACGGTGCTGGAGAAGGAGCTGAGAGGTCTATTTCTTGATGGACAGGCAGCAGGAGGGGACTGTGTGCCACACTGGCCATAGCTGGAGCACGTGAACCTCAAAACCTAACCCCACAGTGACACACCTCCTCTAACAGGGCCACACCTCCTAGTATTGCCACTCCCTATGGGCCAAGCATCCCAACACGTGAGTCTGGGGAGCAGGGCATTCCTATTCAAGTCACCACAGCTGGGTGTGGTGGTTCACCCACACCTTCCACCCCAGCCCCCAGGCGGCAGAGGCAGGAGTTTTCATTCAACAATTCCTCTCATAACAACAGCACCACTGGAAGATAGGCTGACTTAAGTGTTCCATAATCTTATTTCCAACTAGAGTTTAAATATATTTAGATTTCTAAGTTCAAGTCCAGCCAGTTTTATTTTTATTACCACCCACATTCATGCAGTGCCTGGAGAGGCCAGAAGAGGGTGCCATACCTTCTGGGACTGGAGTTCACAGTGAGCTGCCTTGTAGGTGCTTGGAACTGAACCCAGGTCTTCTCAAAGAACAACCAGTGCTCTTACTGCTAAAGCCATTTCTCCAGATCCTATCCCTGTCCCCACATACGTCAACCTGTGTTGTTACCTTATCAGACCTCAGGAATCAGCCTATGACCTCATTTACCAAAAAGACTAATGGGGAAAGGCTTCTCAGCAACCCCTTAAGATGTAACTTGAGTGGCTACTGTGTGACTTTCCTATAAGAAACCCACACCCTTTCCAGATGTGCCTTATAATTTCCTGGGTACTTCAACCCTACTTCTTATGATAAAATACCATGACCAAACTTGGGGAGGAAAGGGTTTATTTATTTTATGCTTTCAGATCATATTTAATCATCAAACCAAGTCAGAACAGGGACTCACAGCAGGAACCTGGAGGCAGAAACTGATGCGAAGGCAATGGAGGACACTGCTTACCAGCTTATCCTCCTGGCTTGCTCAGCCTGCATTCTTAGAGAACCCAGGAGCATCAAGCCCAGGGATGGGTGGCACCACTCACAATGGGCTGGGCCCTCCCCATCAATCACCAAGTAACAAAATGTCCTCCAGGCTTGCCTACAGCCCATCTCATGGCGGCATCTTCTCAGTTGAGGGTCCCTCTTCTCTGATATCTCCAGCTTGTGTCAAGATGACATAAAACTAGCCAGTATGGTGATTAAGACATTTCCTATATCTTGGGGGTCAAGGGGGGTGAAGATGGTGACACATGCCTTTAGCCTCAGCATTTGGGGAGATTGAAGTAGGCAGTTCTGAGTTCAAGGCCAGCCTGGTCTATAGAATGAATTCTAGTATAGCTAGGGCTACACAGAGAAACCTGATAAGGGATGAGTGAGGGAAATTATGGCCAAGAGGTGTGGATTTCTTTTGAGGGAAATGCACTAAGATTACAGTGATAGTTTTATACTCAGAGAATCTGCTGGTGAGATGGCTCAGCAAGTAAAGATACTTGGTGGAAACCTGACAACTTGAATCCAATCTCCAAAATCCACATGGTGGAAGGAAGGATTAAAGTCACGTCTTCCTACCTCAGCTCTCTGGATTAGAAGTGGATCTTCCCACTTCAAATTAAGCAAACCTCCCTCAAAAGTGTGCCCCTCCATTTTTGGGTTTTAGTTGATTCCAGATGTAGTCAGGTACAAGAATATCCATCACATAGAGATTTACGCCATCTGTTCTGTTCTTCTAGAGAACCCTGACTAATACAGCTCCATAGCAAGACTCTATCTCACAGGGTATGGTGGCACATGCCTGGCATCTTAACATTTGAGAGGCAGACCGGGAATTCGGAGTTCAAGGTCAAAAAAGTGTATTTGTTCTGCACAAGAATGGGCCTATCAAGGTTTGGAGGTGGTGTACACCTTCAATCCCAGCACTGGGGAGACAGAGGCAGGTGGCTCTCTGAGTTCTGAGTTTGAGGCCAGCCTGGTCTATTGAGTAAGTTCCAGGACAGCGAAGGCTACCCAGAAAGGAGGCAGGTATAGAGGAAATTGAGTGTTGAGGGTGAGAGGAGATATGAGAGGGTTAGGGAAATAGTAGCCAGAACGCAGTATAGACATGAAATTGTCAAAGAACTTAATTAATTAAAAAAGTCTATATTTTAAAGTGTATGTTTCCTTTCTGCCTGTGTGTGTGTGTGCGCACAGGAATGCCCAGTGCTCACAGAGGGCAGAAGGTAGCACCAGGTCCCCTGGAACTGGAGTTACAGAGGGTGGCGAGTAACACAAACGCTCTAACCACTGAGCAACCCATCTCACCAGCTCTGAAGTGTATGGAACAGAACTGTGGCATACCATCTTTTTTTGTTTTTTCTTCCAGACAGGGTTTCTCTGTGTAGCCCTGGCTGTCCTAGAACTCGCTCTGTAGACCATGCTGGCCTTGAACTCAGAGATCAGCCTGCCTCTGCCTCCCAGTGTGGGATCAAAGGCCTGTGCCACCATCACCAGTGTGATGGCCATCTTTTTCACCCTCTGCTGAAAAATAAAATCAAGTTTTGCACTGTCTAATTTTCTTGTCAACTTGAAGGAAATGGTTCAGTGTAAATGTGCTTAAAACTAAGTCTTACAACCTAAGTTTTATCCCTGGGACCCACAAGGTAGGAGAGAAACAACTCTTATATGTCTTCTGGCTTCCATACATGCACAGTGTCACATGTGCCCCCACACATAAACACACACAGGATGGCTAATGTAGGAGTTCCCTGGAAACCAGTGGCAGGTTGAGACTGTCTTGTGAACTGAGCAACTACTGGCTCCTTGGCCTTTCTGTCAGGAGACAGCCACCGTTCTAGCCACTCTGACAAATTCCATATATGTGTGTTCACTCTAACAGTTCTGTTCCTTTAGATAACCCTAACTAATACAACACACAACATCCTTCTGTTGTGTTTTAAGACAGGTTGTGTGTATGTGTGTGTGTGTATGTATGTGGCTTTCATGGTCCTAGAACTAGCTCTGTAGACCAGGCTAGCCTCAGACTCCGAGATCTGCCTGCCTCTGTCTCCTGAGTGCTGAGATTAAACGTGTGCACCACCACTGCTTGGCAATAAAAACACTTTTTAAGAAGTTTTTTTTGTTTTGTGTTGGTTTTTGTTTTTTTGAGACAGGGTTTCTTTGTGTACACTTGGCTGTCCTAGACTCACTTTGTAGACCAGGCAGGCCTCGAACCCAGAAATATCCACCTGCCTCTGCCTCCCTGAGTGCTGGGATTACAGGAGTGAGTAATTTTTTTCTTCAAAAAGAGCAATTGCAAAAGACACCCAACACGTGCCAACATACACACACACACACACACACACACACACACACACTTGAAACAGGCAGTCCTACGGTAGTTAGGATGAAGGCACATTCACAGCGCAAAACCCCAGTAAATGCCAATTTCTTCCCCACCAAAATCCCAGCTCCTAATAAAAGGTCCACTGGTGCAAGCTCTCCAAGCATTAGGATTCTACTCCTTATCACTTATTCCTAAAGAGTACCTGACCCCCTGCATAGGACAGGCCCCTCTTCAAAGAGTCACATTTGCGAGCCCAGAAGGCACACAGAACCCACTCGAGCAATCCCAGGCTGGCCGCCTGCAGCGGAGCTTATCCTGGAGCTTCAGAGTGGCCCGCAGACACTACCTAGGAAGAAGAAAACACACGCCAGTGAACGAAGCACGGCAACCGGCCTTCTTCCCACGGAGGCTCTGCCCGGCCACTCGGAAGCCAGAGGCCGCACCAGCCCTAATCCTTAACCTGGGACCCTCAGGGGTCCTGCCCCATCCGTTCCCCCCACTCCCAGAGCCTCAACCTGAGCCTAAGGGAATGGGACTTTCTCAAGCCGTTAGCATTCGATCGACGTTTACTGGCGGCGGAACAAGAAAAGAAAATACGGAAGGCGAGGAAGCTTTCGCTTCACTACAGTTGTCCAAACGTGGCCCAGTGGTCGCCCGCTGAGGGCCTTTGAAAAATGATGCCGTTCGGGCCATTATTGTCGAAACCGGACTGCCCTCAATCGTAATGGCGGCGCTGTACCAATTGAGCGTCTCTGCCCCTACCTATCATGGCCGCCAGGCGGTTTCACGTAGTCGCTCCCAACCCCGGAAGATCAGGGCTGGCAATTGGGCGGTGCCCAAGGTATAGACAAGAAGGCCTTTGGCGGTTGGACGGCGCTGCGTAAGGCTGGCTTTAAAGAAGCTGGAGGTGGAAGCTGTCGGAGATCCCGGACCCTTGGAAAGCTGCGGTGAGCGGCGCGGGGGAGGGGTGAGAGTTGAGGGGGAACGGGTTGGAGAGAGGACGGAGAGGCGGGCGGAGGAGGAAACGTCTGAACCCACAGTCCCGGGCTCCCGAGAACTCGGGCCGGGGATCCAAGCGGGCGGGGTCGTGGGGTGGAGTGTTAGCGGTGGGCCGGACCTTCCGGGACTGGAGTGAATGGGGTGTCGGTTTGACAGTTTGTACCCCGGGATCCGGACTGGGTTCGGTGATGAGCCTGGGCCTCCCCCGAGGGGAACTTCGTTCCGCCGCAGCCGGGTGGCGGCGAGCCCCGCGGCTTCCGTCTGGGAGAAGCGCGCTGTAGGGTTTCCCACGGAGACCGGTCTGGCGACCTGATAGGAGGACGGGCTGTGGTTAATGTGTGGAGTGATTCTTTTGGAGCTCTTGTGTGGTGGGGCGAGGACCGCGGAGGACTCTAGCGGAAACGGAGCCTCCCAGGACCGGGATCCCAGGGGATCCCAGGAGCTCAGGGGGGCATCTCCAGGGACAAAGGTCCCTGAAGGCTCGAGCGGTGGGAGAGCCGTAACCTCCGCCACCCAGTCTCGCGGTAGGTGCCCGGCAGGGCCCGAGGGATCTAGGCAGCTGCAGCAGGAGGACCCGGCTCCGAGCGGCCAGCCGGGGGCGCCCTTTCGAGCAAGGGCCTCTGGCCTACCGGGAGCCGCCGGCGGACTATGAAGGGCGGAGTCCCGGGGGAGGAGCTGGCCCTCACTACCCACGCCCCTGCTCCCCGCTTACCTCAGGCCTCGGCCTGGGCTCCCCCAGGGACTCCCCGGAACCGCCGCTTCCCCCATGGACTTGCCTGGGGACCCCAGGTGAGAGCGCACCCCGCCTGCCTGTCTTGAGCCCGGGAGACGGGGATCCTGACCACAACAGAGCCAACAACAGGTTCAGGCAACTGTCTCCTTTCCTCTCCAGCCCTTCTAGACAGCCAAGCCTGTGCCGTCAGCCCCTCGCCCGAGCAGTATGGGAAGCCAGGAGCCCGAAAAGACCGAGGCTGCAGCCCGTGGGGACCCCTTCATCCCTGGAAAAGGCCTCTCGGCGGGTCCTGGCCGTGGTGCTGGAAGATGTCATGGCTACAAACAGGGTGAGCCCTTTAACTGAAAGACCCCTCCCCCTTCCCTATTCTCCACCCCTCGCCCCAGTACTAAAGTCAGACCAGATCCCTTAAGCCAACCTTCAAAGCGGTCTTCATGATGCAAAACTTCTTCATGGTTCCGGGATAACTCCTGTGTCTGTGTCCGTGGCCCTACCCCCACCTCCCACCTCCACTGAGCTGGAACCACATTCTACTGAGTATGAGAACTTTTCTGACTACCCTGTCCCCCTGGGAAGCATGCTAGCGGTGTCTGGCTACAAGGCAGAGATGCGAAAATGCCTCTTTTTCTGTTTCTCCGGAGCCTGGCTGAGAAGATTACTTACATTTCACACTTTAGCTCCTGACTCTACTAATCTCACCCCTAATTCAGACCAGATCACCTCCTTTAGGGATTTGAGTGAATTCAAGTCACCTCTGTGGCTGGGGACACTGAGACACAGAAGACCCCATTTGGTGGCCTCTTTCTATTGCTCTGCTTTTTGTTGCTTTGCATTACTGAGACAGGGTCTCACCTCTTTGCCCAGGCTCACCTGGAACCCAAAGCAGTCCTCACAAGTGCTGGGGTGACAGGCACGAGCTTGCTTTTACCAGCTCTTCCTCTCTTAGGTGCCCCTGGCACGCCAGGAGGATACCTCCAGCCCACTGAGCCACAGCAATCATCGGGATTCCGTCTGCAGGCACTCACCGGCTTCACCAGCCCAGCAGGCCAAGTGGTCCTTGCAAGCCAGGTGAGTGTGACAGGGGAGGGGGATAGGCGGAGAGCACAGCTGCGCCCACTAATCTTCCTGTTCTTTCCTAGGCCTGACCCGCTGCCTTTGTGTCGAGAGCCCTTGAGTCGCATCCACCAGTCCTCCCCCACCTCAAGGATTCGATCAAGGACAGGCCCTGGCCCAGACGAGAGCCTTTCACAAAAGAAGGACCAGGTCCCCCAGCCCACCCTGGTGGTGGTACTGGAAAACATTGCCAGCGGCAGACAACCAGCTGAGGTAGAAAGTACAGTGAAGCTCTCTGGGTCCAGCTAGGGCAAACATGAGGCTGGGGAGGGGATTTCTGTAAAGGTGAAGACAGCAGCTTTTTTTTGGTTTTGGTTTTTTTGTTTTTTGGTTTTTTTTGTTTTGTTTTTTTGAGATAGGGTCTCAATATGTAGACTTGGGTGGCCTAGAATTTACTATGTAGACAAGGCTAGCCCAATTTATAGCCTGCCTCTACCTTTCAAGTTTTGGGATCTAGGGCTTGTGCCACCACCCCAATGAGAGCAAAATTTTATACGGTAGACACTACTTGAGTAAAGAATATAAAAATTTTTTTGGTGTGTATACAACCAAGCAGGTATCTGGGGATTGAGTTAGGACATGGAGAGCTGAAGAAGCCAAAGATGGCTAACCTCTTTTTCAAACCACCACCCTCCCCGTTTATATCCAGAGTCTTGCTGAAGATGGGCCCACCTCCACTGTCCCGGCACAAAGGTGAGAAGGTGGGGAAGGGATTATTAAAGCTATCATCCAGATACCCAGAGCTGGGGGCATCCGGATTTACTTGTCTAATCCTTCTTTACAGCAACTTCAGAGGCCTTAAGGAGCAGGGGAACTGGCCTAGAAGGGATCCGGACCTAGAAGCACCCCCAACTCCTACTCTGTCCCTTCACCCCAGAACTGAGCCTATGACAAAAGTTCATCAGCCGGTGCCTACCCCCAGTGAACTAGAACCTCCATTCCAACCGTCCACACTGCCTGCAGGCCCTCCAGAGAGTCCAGTCCCAGGTAAGGACCTGAATAGTGGAATGAGACTCAAAGAGTTTGGAATAGCCACCGTGAGCTTAAAACAGCAGGGGCAGAACTGTGGGTAGGGTTTAACCCCTTCCAGGGCAGAGCAGGATATATAAAAATTGGATTTGGGCCTCAGAAGTTTGGGGGGGATCCCTAGTGCAGTACTAGGGATCAACTCCAGGGCTTAGGGCATTAGGCAATCCTATTACAGGATTTTAGGAGCAGGTTCACTCCTCTAGAGACAGATTAGTGTTTAGGGGAAGAGACTGAGGCTTAAGAGGTGGTGCTTCAGTCACCTGAGGGTGAGGAATGCCCACCTGTGACCCTCTCCTCTCCTCAGCTGCAGATCCTGTTCTGGAGGTCCCATTGACCCCACCACTGTCCAGCCTCTTACGTCCCCGTCTCAGTCCCTGGAGCTTGGCTCCTCTCTTCCGCTCCGTCCGATCGAAACTTGAGAGCTTTGCGGACATCTTCCTCACACCTAACAAAACACCACAACCTCCACCCCAATCATCACCCGTGAAATTGGAGTTGAAGATTGCCATCTCGGAGGCTGAGCGGTCCAAGGCTGTTGACAGAATTGCATTTGTCAGCCCCCGGCCCCCTATCCGCCAGTGGCGGACTCAGGACAATTCCCCAGCACCTGTCCCTAAGTTATCTCTGGGCCGAAGCTACTCCTGCCCTGATCTGGAGGCCCCTGGCCCAGACAGCTGTACCTGGCCTCCTGTTCCATCCCAGCCAGGCCAGGCCAGGCCCCGGAGACATACTGTGGGTTGTGGGGAGATGGCCCGGACCCCACCACCTCCTCGGCCCTGTCTCCGGAAAGAGGTCTTCCCTCTTGGAGGAGTGGGAGTCTCACCTTCTCTCACTACATCTTGCTCATCCACTGCATCCACTTCCTTCTTCTGCGAACCAGCAGACTCCAGGTAGTGCTCTCAATAAACCCTCTGGAAGCCCTGGCCAGAGCCTGAGCCAGGCCTCCTTCGCTCAGTAACTCCTGACAGAAGACGGGTGTATTGCTGTGTGTTCCCTTGTCCCTGACTGTTGACCATCTCTGCAGATTGGGTTCAACCAAGGGGAAGGAGTTAAGAGCCTCAAAGGACAAGGTGCTTTCTGACCCAGAGACCAAGGTAATGAGTAGAGAGACAGGAGCCAGCTGAGGACTGAGCCTATGCCTTTCTTTTACTATCTGCTCCATTTTTGCAGACCATGGGAAAGGTTTCTAGATTCAGAATACGGAGGACGCCTGTCCGTCCACAACCAAACCTTACACCAATGGGGCTGCCTCGACCAGTCAGGTGAGAGGCTCAGAGAGCAGGCTGCTCCCCAGACCAAGGAGCCTGTCTCCACTAGGGGAGCACAGGGGCTTGGAGAGTAACTTTGGCCTGGACGTGGCTCATGCTTAGAACTTCCTCAGCTATCCCTCCGACTCCTGCATGGCCCAGAAACTGAAATTCACACCAGGCTTTGCCTGCACCTTTCCAGGGCCTCCTTGCTCAAGGTTTCTCAGTGCCCTTTGCTCTTTGCTTCCAGGTTGAATAAGAAGGAGTTTACTTTGGAAGAAATTTATACCAATAAGAATTACCAATCACCCACAGCCAGAAGGTGAGCAGCTTGGAAGGTGTGAGGGCAGTAGAGGGCTGTTTGAACCAAGGAGCGTGCTGGTAAACATCTCTTCTCCCTGCCTGGCCCAGGACCTTTGAGACCATTTTTGAAGAACCCCGGGAACGCAATGGAACTCTGATTTTTACCAGCTCTAGGAAGCTCCGACGGACTGTAGAATTTCGGGATAGTAGCCTTCCTCGATCCCGGCGACCATCACGAGGGGTCCGCACTGCAGCAAGCAGAACCCTTACTCCCAACCTGGCACCCAGCCAGGACGTGGGACCTCTGCTGCAAGAACGGCTGAAGGAGCTAGATGCCTTGCTCCTGGAGGAGGAGACAGATATGGAACACCCCAGTCAGTTCTAGGAGCTCCAACTGTTTGTCCATCCGTCCTTCAGGGAGGGGGAAATTTTTCTGGATCAATATTTTTATCTATATTTCTATAAAGTTTTCAGTATGTTTCTGATTCCTTTTGTGTCTCCAGCAGAGTTTGAGGTCAATTAGTTACACTAGCTAATTTTTTATATTGGTCACCAAAGGAATAGAATAAGGGAACAGAGAAGAAAAAAGGGTTGCAGAAAACATGGGAGTAGTCATTGGAGATTCCCCACCCGACTCTCATTCCCTGGCAGTACTTAGGGGATCAAACCTAGAATCTTGTACACACTACCTCTGAGCTACATTTCTAGCCCAGAGAACACTCTTGAGAACTCTTTTATGGGGTGATATTTATGGAGAAAACCAAAAAATGCTACCGATACACAACTCATCTACATCATAGAAATTAAAAGGGTTTGGAATAAACTAAGGCCTTGATCAAGATGATCAAATGCTGTAATCACGGACCTAGGAAAATGTATCATAGATACTTGACTGGCACAAGCCCTACAGGGCATTTATCACCGTTTCCTAGACAAGAAAACAAGGTGAGTTTGTCAAGAAAATGTCCATGTTGAAATACCAGCCAGAGCCAGTGGGACAGCTCAGCTGATAAAAGGCACTTGGCACATAAGCCTAGCAACCAGAACTCGATCCCCAGCACCCATGAAAATGTTGAAGACACCGCAAAGTTGTCCCCTGTCTCAGCGCGCATATCTTTGCACTCGCACCCCCACGTACATCAAGCCCACACAACAGTAACGCTACATCAAAGAATCAGCTATCAGAATGGCGTACGGTAAACGCTGAGGACAGTGGCCAGGGCCCGCGTCGAGCTAGAATCCTGGCTGTTCGTTTACGGGTCCCCTTAGCAAACTGGATCGAATAGCAGACATTTACCTCAGAACTTAACATCAAGTGAACTAATGCGAGGGAGAACCCGGGGCACGGGCGCAGGCTGTTTATTGCCGCAGCGCACTGGAAGGGAAGGGAACCGGCGGCCGTCTCCGCCCCGCCGCCGACCCTCGCGGAGCCGGCCTCCCGGCGGCCAGCCCAGCCCCGGCGCCGCCTCCCCACGCCTCGCCTGGTCGCCGTCAGCCGACGGCCAATGAGCGGAGAGCAGGAAGAGGCGGGTGGCCCACGGGACGGCTCCAAACACCTACTCGGGACCTGTCGAGTCACAAGACCCGGGGAGGGCGGGGCTGAGCTGACGGCCCAATCCCAGACCCGGGGGCGGGCACATCCGGCGGCCGTGGCCCCGCCCTCCGCGCTGACGTCCTCTCGCCGACCTATAAACGCCTGAGCCGCGGAGGGCGGGGGAGGAGGCGGAGAGGGGGAGGAGGCGGAGAGGGGAAGGAGGCGTTGGCTGAGGAGGAAGAGGGAGGAGGGGCAGGGAAGTTCTGGCGGAGAAAAGGCCGGAGGCTTCGAAGAGGACAACAGGAGGATACGGTCGAGTTCCTCGCTGCCCAGCGGCCTTTCCGGATCCTTCTAGACACAAGTCAGTCTGGGACGGAGGAAAGGAGGAAGAGTCTTTTATGTCGGAGGACAGAGAGAGCGGCTCTATCCGTCACCGTTGCCTCACATCCGGGACTTTGGAGGGCACGCTCCGCCCCCTTGCACCTTTCAAGGCTACGGGAGGCGTAGACCTCTTTAAATCTCCTTAAAGGGGTGGGCGCCGAACTCGGCCGACTCCAACGCCAGCCTTAAAGGGGAAACCAGCCGAAGCTGACAAACAACTCCCGCTGGAAGAATTGGGGCAAGTGGAGTTTTCCTACCTCCTTTCCCACGCCAGAAGTTCATTACCGTCACTTAAAGGGGACGTGGCCTCTCCTGGAGGACTAGCCCTTCACTGCGGGCCCTGAGGAGGACCGGCCTGCTGCTGGAAGGCCTCTGGACTCTTTAAAGGGGTGGCTTCTTTGAGCCGGAGGACTTGAGACACTTTTAAAGGGGAGGTCGTGCTTTCCGCCCCTTTTAAAGGGGTGGCCCTTCCTCTTCCTCTGGGAGACTTGCCTCGACCCCTGGCACGGGGCCGCCGCCGCACTAGACCAGCCGGACACTGTGGAGTCGTCTTAAAGGGGCCGGGGGCTGGACGATTTGAGGCCTCGCCTTAAAGGGACGGCCGCCCAGTTTTCATCGTCGCGGCCCCGCCAGCCTACAGGGGGGCCCTTCAGGCTTGTCGCCCCGGGGGCGGCGCCGGCTCTCTGGGCCTTGGCCTTGGGGCAAGCCAGGGGCCGGCGGCGGATCCTGTTTTAAAGAGGAAGCCGGAGCTCCCCCGTCCCTGTGCAAACGCCAGCGCCGCGCTCGCGACCCGGGGCCTGTGGACAGGCCGCTTCGGGCCCCGCCGCCTCCGGATGCGGCGCTGAGGGCCGTCACCATGGAGACGGCCGCGGCCCCAGGCCCGGGCTGGGCAGCTGAGGGGGAGCGGCGGAGAAGACGTTGCTCGCGGCGAGACCGTGATCGGGAGCAGCGGCGCCGCCGAGGTCCCGGCGGTGACGCGCCCCGGGCCTTGTTGGCCGCCCCGCGCGGCTCTTCATCCTCGTCGTCACCGCCGCCGCCCGCCCGGCCCTGGTCGTCAGCTTCTTCTGGAGAGCGGCCTGGAGGCCTGAGACGGCGGCGGCCCCGACCCAGGCCTCGACCCCCGAGACCTCGAGCTCGGAAGCGGCCTGCCGGTTCGGGCAGCCGTGGAGAGGAAGAGGAGGAAGAGGAAGAGGGGGGCGCAGACGACGGTGAAGCCGAGGAAGAGCCGGAGGAGGAGGAAGAGGAGGAGGAAGACTTGATCGATGGCTTTGCCATCGCTAGCTTTGCCAGCCTTGAGGCCTTGCAGGTGTGTCCTAATGGGATTTGAGGGTCTTTGGGAGGAGGGTCAGAAGGGCAGAGAGAAGGATACAGCCCTTAGAGAGGATAGGGTTGAGGGGGCAGTTGTGACACCCCAAACCAGAGCAACCGGCTCCTCTAGCCTGGCTTCTGCCCCACCCTGGGGTGGGAGGAGGTACAGCTAGTCTCTGGGGACTACCTAGGTTACCCTGCCTGAAAGGCATTTGAGTAGCTTGGTCACCCTTAGAGAGTTGGGGAGCTTTTCTTTCTCCAACCACTTAAGTTCCACCTCCTTTTCTACAGAAGGATGCATCTCTTCAGCCCCCAGAGCGACTAGAACATCGGCTGAAGCATTCTGGGAAACGGAAGAGGGGGGGCTCCAGTGGGGCCACTGGGGAACCAGGGGACAGCTCAGACCGTGAGCCTGGCCGGCCCCCTGGGGATAGGCCCCGCAAATGGCCCAATAAGCGAAGAAGGAAAGAGGTGAGCTTGCCCCAGATCCCAGTCCTTCAAAATTTCTGTCAGAATAGCACTCCTGTAGATTGAGTTTCGGTAAGCATTGCAACTGCCAGTCCTAAACAGCCATCCCTGTTTCTGTGAGCAAAGAGAAAGGCAGAACAAATTGGACAGCAGCCCCCCTCTCCAGTCCAGGCCTGAAAAAGACTTGACTACAGTCAACTCACTTGCTTTTGCTTGTGCTATGTGTACTGCTGACATGTTGATAATTTAAGAGACATGACAAAAACGCTTAGTTGAATTATAAATAAATTAGATGTCCCTGCCCTTCCTTCTAGCTGGTGGCAGCCTACAGGGAAAGAAACAGTCAACAAGCAAACACCTAGACCAGTTTGAGCAGCTGCACAAGGCAGCTAGTGACCTGGGAGAGAGATCTAGGCAAAGTGTTGCAGAAAGTGACATGAGGAAGCCACTCATTCTGTCTGGGGGATGGGCAGAGGGTTGTGGTTAGGGAAAGCCCCCTAGAATGTCTTGGGCCCCAAAGTAGTCAGAAGTTTGCTGAGGAAAGAAATGAAAAGTTGTTTTGAATGAGAGATATGAGAACTTGCTGTATTAAGAAAATAGTAAGGTTGTTGGGAATGGAGGTGGGAAGCACCCAAAAGAAAAAGCTAGAAAAAGTGATTGAGAGTAGAGTTTAAGTGTCCTTGAGTGCCTTCCTGGAAGTTGTAGCTGTATACAGCTGCCTGGTCAGTCATCCTCCCTCACCTCTGGACTCTGGTCTTTCAGGCCTTCTCCCGTCACTCTCTGGAAGCTGGATATATAGTAAGTGTTGCCTACCTATAATGCCCTTCCCTTCCCATTGGGGCCCTGTCCTCTTCTGTCTCCTGATCTCTCTTTCTTTCCTTCTCAGTGTGACGCAGAAAGTGATCTGGATGAGAGGGTGAGTTGGGCAGGACTTGTTGGGTGGGCACTGCTACAGATGGCTACATGGCCTGCAGTTTAAAGAACTTCACAGCATTCTTCCCGAGTGGGGACGTGGGTTATATTGAACCAGGAGGAAGGGAGGGAAGGAGGTGTTGGGGTGAGGGTTGAGGCCACAGTGTGCATGTCAGAAGACAACTTTTGGGAGTCAGTTCTCTCCTTCCACTGTTAGGCTCTCGGGGTGGGAATTAAGTGCCCAGGCTTCACAGTGAGTGCTTTTACTGATGAGCTAGCTTGCTGGCCCTGGTTCTGGGTTGGTTGGTTTGGTTTAACCTGGGGTTTTGTTTGTTGGTTGGTTGGTTTGGTCTTTGTTTTTCATTTTAGTTTGTGTGTGGGTGTTTTATCTGCGTGTATGTCTGCGTACCACCTGTGTACAGTGCCTGAGGAGGCCAGAAGAGGGCGTCAGAGCCCCTGGAGCTGGAGTTACAGTTGTGAGCCTCCATGTGGGTGGGAGGAGATAAACCTGGATCTTCTGGAAGAGCAGCCAGGGCTCTTAACTGCTGATCTGTCTCTCCAAACATATACCCACCCCTCCACTCCTTGTTTTTAATGATGGATAGGGCTGAGTAATTGAGTAATCAGAGAATTGAATGTTCACTTATCTGGTCTAACATCCTTCTCAGCTTTTTTTTTTTTTTTTTTTTCTTTTTGGTTTTTCGAGACAGGATTTCTCTGTGTAGCTTTGGCTGTCCTGGACTTGCTTTGTAGACCAGGCTGGCCTCGAACTCACAGAGATCCACCTGCCTTTGCCTCCCTAGTGCTGAGACTAACGGCGTATGCCACGGTGCCCAGCTGCACTAGCTTTTCTGTAGGAGTCCAGAGTGAGCCTGGAGCTGAA